GTAGCTTGTAAACTTCTTTTCACCTTTCTGATATTTTTTCTAGTTTTGCATCTCTTGCTCTAAATTGTTTTTTGTAATGTTCTGCTACACCAATCTTAACTAACTTTGGATCTACTGTTAAGTTTGTTAATTCATCTTCTTGTTTGATAAATCTGTCAAGAGTTATCTTTTTATAGGGCTTGTTTAACAGACTGGCTATTATTTTCTCTTGATTTGTTTTAATCATTTTACATCTTTTGTCTATATTTTCTTCTATTTGTTTTCTTTGGTTTTGTTTCCATTTTTTTCTCTTTTTCTTTTGTAGCAGTTTCTGCCAACCTCTTATGTCTTCTATCCAGGCACTTGACCATCGCCTGTGTAATTTGGGCAGCCTTGCACCTTCTTTTTCTCCTATTATTTATAGTTTCTCATTTATTTCTATTCTTTTCTCTTTTGTTACTTCCTGACCTTCTCTTGTTTTTGATTCTTTAATAATCTTTGCAACTCTATAATGTTCTTCTTTTGGTATCACTTCTTTGAGTTATTTTTTCTATTTGTCAATGTATTGTATATCTTCTTTTTCAGTAGATGCTTACTAGCTGCTATAATGATTGCTTCTTCTAATACATCCTATATGCTGTTTATATTATTTGTTTCTTTTCTTTGAAGTTCTTTAGCACCTCTTTCACTTCTAATTATTTCTGCAACTCTTGTGTATACTTTTCCTAGTTCTCTTTCTTTGCTTGGTCATATAAATATACTGTTCTTGATTGTAGTAGGATACTACCTATAATATAATTATATTATAGGTAGTATCCCATTTAGGTTAGATTATATAATCTAAATACCACTATATAATCCGAATATTATATAATCTAGATATCTCTATATAGTCTGAATAACAGTATATAATCTGAGCACCACTATATGATCTAAATAATATAATCTAATAAACACTATATGATCTAAATATATAATCTAATTGCTACTATATAATCTATATATTTCCTATATTGGATATCTATTTTATGTTCTAGCTATCTCTTTGAATTCTTTCTGATATTTATATTTTATCACTATATGATCTAACTACCACCTACCATTTAATCTAACTACTATCATATGATCTAAATACTGCTATTTCCTTCTTGTTCCTAATTCATTTACATGCCAAATTCTATATTGTTTGTACTGGCCTTCTATACCTGTTTGGATGCCTGGTTTTATATTGAGGGTGCTGGCCCTTTGCACCTGTTTGGGTGCCAAATTCTATATCAAGGTGTTTACCTTTTTGTGCCTGTTTAATTGCCTATTAAAATACTGAATTGTGATAAAAAAAAATATTACGTTAAGTGATGCAGTAAATTCGTGGTTAATTTCAGCTGAGATTATGCTATAATTTTGGCTGATCTTTAGAACACATAATTTGAGGATCCCAACTCAGCACCATAATAGTAGAGTGATAGTATCTAGAACTATTATGACACTAGCAGAAAACTAATAGAGAACCAAAAAGGTTCTATTAGTTCACCAGTTTTAGACTACTTATATGCTGACTTAAATACCAAGTTCTTTTGCCCAAAGTTCTGACTGAAATTATGAAATAGTGCTAGCCGAAATCATAATTTACTATGCCTACTGTACCAGCTATGTATTGCTATTTCTAAGCACTTTCGAAGTTACCTCATACCTGAATACACATCCAAAAAAGTGTAGCCTTCTTCTATTATTTTATATAAAGATTCTGAAGAAGACTACACTTTTGAATATATATCTGAATGCCTTTTTTGTCATCGAGACTTTTTAGTAACATCCGACTAAATGAAGGCTTCTGCTAATATTTATATAATATAATTCTGCAGAAGCCTTTATACCATATCTGAGTTTATACTATACTCAACTATATATCTAGAAAAGTGTAGTCTTCTGCTAATATTTTATATAATGATTTCGCAGAAGCCTACACTTTTAGATGCATATTCAGATGTCCTCCTTTTATGATTTGCTACCCAAGTATAAGTATCCAATATATGTCACATATATCTGGATACATACTAGCTTACTCTAAATACCCACATATATCCAAGTACCTATCTAAAAATAAGGCCTTCTTCTATTATTTTATATAATAATTCTAAAGAAGGCCCCACTTTTAGATACATATCTGCTTACTTCTATTTTTGATTTGTTGACTAAATTTGCTATCACTTCTTTTTTATATCTATCAAAAAAAATCATGTCAGAATATAATTATTATGAACTTACTTACTCTGAATTCCACCTAGCAAGAATGCATTTATTTACATCTAGATGCTTTCACTATTCCTGAGAACATATCTTGAAAAATGAAGGCTTCTGCCAATATTTATATAATAGATTACGTAGTTACCTTCACTTTTAGTTGTATATTTAGATACTCTTCTTTTATGATTTGTTGGCTAAGTTCACCATTGCTTCTTTTTTTGTATATATTAAAAAAATTAATTAAACATTTTGGAAATATATTGTGATATAATAACTTTACCTACTGTCAACATGCATATTTCAACTATTTCTGACCAAACTGATCACACTAAAACTGGCCCTCTCACCCGCTATGATGGTGCTAACTCTGATGAATACTTGAGCAACTCAGATAGCTATAATAATAATGATTCTGATTGTGGATCAGATGATTATAATAACTATGAGTTCAATTATGAGTTAGATAGTGAAGAAGCTCCCTGTGCTTCATCCAGCACTACCAAGACTTCATTAGTTCAGCTACCAAATGTACAAGAGCAAAAGACTAATGCAATATAAACTTTAAAAAAAGAAAAGTTTAATACTGATTTTACTCTCAAAGACCTGCTAAATAGTATTCAGAAAATTTTCTTATCACCACCTAGAGATATATTAAATGATAAAGAGTCATTAGATTGTCTTCTAATCTATTTATTCCTCTTTCCAAATAAAAAGGGCCCCAGTTTATATAATGCTTATAACTATAATGAAGTAGAAGATAAATTGGTTATCAAAATCGACCAAGATAATCGAGCCTCAAAGTTTTCCATTGCAGATGATATTGCAGAAGTATACAGTTTACTTGGGATTCATGAATGTATTAATGATCAAAACCCTTTAAGAGCTGTAATTGATATTGATGCTTTGTAAGAAGATATGGAAACAACTGATGTTAAGGCATAAGAAGTATTCGTTTGAATTTGTTGCTCTTTCATAAGAGCTTTGTATCGAATTCTTGACTGTGGCTGGAAGGATATTCTCAAAGAGTTAGTAATTGCTACATTTTCAGATCCTAGTAAATGCAGTTATCATATTTTATATGCACTAGCTTTTCTCATAGATTATCATGAACTCAAAGCTTTCACAGACTTAGTATATATATTAACTAGGGAAAAATTCAGTAAATATATTGATTGAGGATTACCTGGTCAAAATTTTAATCTACAGCTTATTGGTTCGGCAAAAAAAGGCTGTATAAAGTGTATTTTTCAATTCTTACTAGATAATGGGTGGAATGAACTCGATCATGTTAGGGTTCAACCACCTTTTAATTTGGGTTTCGAAGTAAGGTCTTGATTACTTAGTAAAGAAAAAAATAATAATCCACTAAGAATGATTATAGATCAGGATATATTACAAAAATGCATGAACCTAGTTTTGCAAAAGCATTCTAAATATCTTAGAGATTGGACTATCGAAGAAAAGGATTCACAAAGCTTTGTGTATTTTAACTGAAAAGCTCTACTAGAATGTTCACTATGTAAATGCATATATGACAAAGATCAGTAGTGGTTCAGTCATGTATGTGCTAATAGTAGATGTTCATCGTAAAATGCTTTCACCAAAATAGCAATGAACTTGAGGAAATATTTGAATATAACCTATCTATTGTAGAAAAAATTCTGCAAAAAAATAAAATTTTACTACAACCTTCTCACAAGTTAAAAGGCTCGGGCTTCTCAAGAGCTTTCGTAAAAATACCATCTTGGGTCAAATATAGTGAGACCCTTACAACTACAAAAACTTACAAGGAAAGGTACATAAGACAATTACCCAATGAGGGCAATATTTATGTGGGATCACCTTAGGAAATAGAAAAAATATATGTTCTTAAAAATTTGGTTATTCCTAATGATATAAATTTACTAGTGCTGTCTACATGCTACTTTTACTCAAATGCTGTTACTACAAGGCTTAATCTTAAATTATATTGCAATATCGATGATAATATAAATTTATCTGATCAGAAAAGAGTAGTATGTCAGATAGAGAGTTTACACCATATTACTAATAATTGCAAATGTAATAAAAAATGTAAATGTCATCTAGCCAATATGATTTATGGCTTGATGAAATAGTGTCTATAATTACTCAGGCACAAAGTCATTTGGCTGGGCAATTGATAGAAAAATTGTATAAATTAATTTAAGAAGTGAGGTGCATTATTATCATGGATAATGATCTTACTGATTTTAATATCAAATGGATTAAGCCTCTTCGTAAGGATAGGCTATTCACTATTATTTATAATACTTATCAGCTTCAGAATGATAAAACATTCCGCTTGGTTCCTAATAAAGAAACTATATTAGCTGAACTTTGGGATTGGGCTAGGCAAATATCTTCACTACCTTCTGAGAAACAAACATGCACATCACTCATCTGTCACCTTAGAAAAAATATACAAGGAATTGTTCATGCTCTCAAAACTGATTTTCCAGAATTACAGATTAAAGAATATTATGGTAAATCTGATTCAGTGGAAAAGGCTCATAATTTCAGCAATGTAAAAAAATCATGAAAAGACGTAAACCTAGTTGCCTATACTAGTATTCTAAAAATAGGAGTGTCTTGCACCAATCCCAAGTTTGAATGAGCATTCTGCATTTTTAACAGTTATATAGAAATGAATACTGGGACAAATCAGATATTATTTCACATGCGGTGTATCAAAGACTATATATGTCATATCAAACAAAGATCTTCTAATGTTCCTATTACAGAAAATGGGCTATTTCGATAGTTATTAAATGCTAAACATGAATGTCTTCTCTAAGAACTTCAGAACAGAGGAATATTTCCAGATATAAACTCTATCATCCAGAATAAGGATGTACTGACTATTTAATTATAAGTGGCCTATATATTAAAAAAATTCTGTTCCTGGTGCTTATTTGGTTGGAGAACAGTTGATTTTCTCAAAGAGGCAGGTATGGTAATTTCAATTATAGAGCCTATCCCTAAATACGATGAAAATGTTATATTGTTATTTCAAGTTGTGAAGGTAAATTCTGCTATCGTTAAAGCAGAGGAAATATTAGCAATAACTAATGCTACTATTGTTAATTATGAGACTGCTGAATTTTTGGAAAACAAGCTGAAGAAGACTTTAGAAGAGATATGCTCTTTAGACCGGCATCATATTGCAGATTGTTATGGGATTTTGCCTGAATTATTAACTGAGAAATTTATCTTGAAGTATAAAAATTATAATCATATGAAATAATTTAGAGCTTATAAGCAATTATGAGATGCTAGTATTGACAATAAAATGGCTATTGAAGCAATCATCTGTAAAGATTATAGAGAAGATAGGCTTACAACTGCAACTCGAGCTGAGAGGCATTAAATTTGCTTAGAATTATTAAGGATTTGCATATCAGCTAGAGATATTGATAATAGAGTTAAATATAAAGCTGATAATGTTAAAATGTGCATTGATTCTCCTAAAGTGATATCATATCTCCAGGATTTAGTTTTTAGAATGGCTCGAGTATTTGACAATACAGATGCATTATGTAGAGCTAAAAAATCGGGATTAAAAACAATTCGAGCGAAACTTGGTTTACTGAATTCAGCACTATATGCAATATATGAATTAAAATTTAAGGCTATAGATAAGAATGCTAGATATTATTATCTAGTTAGCTCATTTGATGATGAAGATGCCCCAAAGCTTCCATTATATCAAACAAGAGAAGAAATATACTGGGTAAATGAAAAAGATACTCGGTATGGCTATAGTAAGCTTTTACTTGATGAAATATTAATATAAATACACTATATCCTGACCAGAATATATACTTTAAAAATGAAGGCTTCTGCCAATATTTATATAATAGATTATGCAGAAGCCTTCATTTTTGAAATATATTTTTTCTTATTCTTTGGTAAACAATTTATAGGCCTTTCTGGATTGAAGGGTCCCAACCCCATACTTCTGCTTTATTCGATAATTGGGTGAATGGAATTTGGCTAAATGTTTGAGACAACATTCTGTAATGGAAATAGTAGGGAAACCACAAACAAGGCAGAGTTTTTTTTTATAATTTTTCATGTGAAGTCCAGTATTTTTACAGCCAGTAATATGAGTGCAAACTCTTTTACAAACAGGCAAAACATCTTTTGGACTCTGCAAGAAGAACACCATGCAAATTACAGAAGATATTTAGGATCTATTTAATATATGCTAATACCATTCTTCATATAGAGTAGTCTTCTGCCAATATTTATATAATAGATTACACAGAAGACTACTCTTGATTTATACTATCTGCTAAGGTATTCTTTTACTATTATTTTATATAATATTTTCGCAGAAAAATACCCAACTACATATTATAAAAAATAGTGCTATTCAACTTAATAATATAAATAAAAAAAAATTTGCTTACTTTCTGGCAGATAATTCAGAAGGGATTCCTAATGCTCCAAATTTTAAGCTAACCACTAATTCCCAAAGAGGTTAAGACCTATATCCTCATCATCTTCATTATCTAACTCAGAAATGGAAGCTTCATAAATTCTGGAGCTGAGCTTTTAATTACAACCCTATCATCTAGTATTTTGATCAGGATCAAATCTGTTAAATTTCTTCTTAACAAGTCTGCAAATAGTTGTAAAGAAGTGAGAAACAAGTGTTCATGAATCAAAGCACTACTATCATCTGACTCAGAAATTGAAGCTTCAGTGATTTTGGGTTGAAGGGCCTCAGCCTCATACTTCTGCTTCATTTGATAATTTAGTGAATAAAATCTACCTGAATAATAGGACAACATCCCATAATAAATATGGTATATTTTGACAATCACTAACAAGACAGGGTTTTTTTTCTATATTTTTTTCATATAATTTCCAGTGCCTATAACACTCTGTAGGATGCCAGGAATTATTTCCACAGACAGTACCATCCTTCTTGATATGTGTACAAGTAAGGTGAGCCATGGCCAGAGGCACTAAAGCAAAAGTATTTTAGAATATAAAACCCTCTTTACTTTTAATTTTATAATAAAATGTGTATTTAAATTAATCAATATTATAATGAGATAAAACATCTTTTTATACAAATGTTATGGACATATTAGACCGACTAACAGATAAATCTCACAAAAAAATCTTTAATCTCAAAACTAATTGCATGATCATTATAAATGGGGCAGTATATAATAAATTGCTACATGAAGGCTATATGCATTGGAAAGAGGAAAGTCTCTTGATTCTGCCATTTAATGAAATGCCAATATTGAGAGAGTACCTTTCTTTTATATCTAATATGATCGCATATGATCCAGAAAAAAGTTTACTTATGTTAATTAATAAAAAAGTAAGTTTGTTACAGATTTTACTCAAAGTATATAATGATAATGCTACAAACCAGTTATTAAAAACCAACTAAAATAGTAAAAAAATGCAGGAATAGAGAAGTAATATACTTATAAAATTCCTCTATCACTCAGATTTAGCTTTTTCGAAACATAGACTGAGTGCTTTATATGATGTGTTCACTGAGACAAATGTTTTAGGACCAAAACATATATTAGCTCTAGCACAAGCATTGTATTAAAATATGATCACAAAATAGGTTTTAGACCTTAAGTTTGTTTATAGCTTTGAAATGAGGGTTCTATGGCTATTTTTTGCTTATTCTTAGGATTAGAATGGGCCAGGTTGGGCTGGGTTTCTCCAAATTTAAACCCAAGCCCAAAAAATTTTATAAGCCTAAGTCCAAGCCCAGCCTAGTAAAAATTTACAGATTTGGGCTGGGCTGGGTCACTTCAAAACTATACCTGGCTCAACTAAACCTGACCGGGCTTAGTGATTAAGTGGATAACTTTTTCATGATTGGTTGATTACGTAAATTTAAAATCGTGTCATAATTGGTCACTTTGCAGATCATATGACAACTAGGCAATCAAAATTTATTATAAATGATACAGTATAGATTGTACCTATATAAGTGCCACCCAGATGACTCATGTAAGATGTGTTAACCAGGTCATAGATATTGCTACCCAAGTGTCCAGATTGACTATCTATACATACATAAAAATGCATTTATGTTATTAGTTTTACAATTTTATATAGATTGAATAATTAGTTTTATACATTATAGAAGTAAGTGAACAGGTTAGATAAAAATGAACATTGTAGTTGATTAGAGCCATTCTCATAAATTTTGGAACAACTGATAAAAAATTGATTTGATAAGTTTTTGAATTTGGTATTATCTGAATTGGATTTTTAGCATTACATTAATTCAATAACACCAAATTCCAAAACTTATCGAATTCAACTGATCTATTTTTTATTAGTTGTTTCAAAATTTACGAAAACAGCTATAAATATATAAATTAAAAGTAGAATATGACAGTCTTACAAACTATATTGGAAAATGAATAGTAGTAGATGTAAAATATATATTTTTCTTATTATGATTAATCGGGTCAATTGGGTCAACTGAGTTATCTAGTTTGTAACCCAGTTAAAGTTTTTTTAAACAGATAAGTAACCCAGAGTTGAAATCTTTAGTGGGTTCAATCTCTATTATAATATCTGTTATTGTTATATATGTACTAACTAAAAATCTTGAATTTATATAATACATAACAATTCAATATTAAAGTGATTTAATATGATTTAATTTTGACAGAAAAATTATGACATACATCCCAATCGTTATATAAAATTATATGAAAATTTTTCAACAACGTCAAACAATATTATAATTTTCTGTAATACATAATAAGCCTATCTTAAATATAAACCATAAATAAATAATATAAAACCTATTTTTTAAAAAAAATTAAATAAACAAGTTTTTTATTATGTTCTTAAATATTACTAAAAAAGATTTGGACTTATTAATGTCAAGATTCCAAAAGATAGTTACTTACCAAACACTTCTTTATATCTAGTAAAGCATCAAGTTTTATAATTTATTTTAATCTAATATTATTAAAAGTTACTATATATTATCTTTAAGTCCTTTTTTCAAACAAGTTAGTCATACTTTTGTAAGTTAATTAAAGCTTTAACGTATATATTTATTGTACATTACTATTTTTCTAACTTACAAACCATCTCCAAGTGAGGTATATCCAAGTAGAGTAAATCTCAGAAATATACAAGATACTTAAAGCTTTGTTCGTGAAGAGTCTTTAATAGTATTATAAATAGTGGTTACATTTTTTTTAAAAAAAAATTTATTATAATAGGGGGTAAAAGTACTCTAAACTATATAAATTCAATTGTATAAAATTGACCAATCACAAGAAAGTTATCCTATATATAAGGACCTGCAGGGGCCCATGGGCTCATTTACAAAACCTGACCCAAGCCTGATATTTAATAAACCCAGTCTAAACTCAACCCACTTTATAATAGATTAAAATATTAGACCCAGCTTTGACTCAAACCCCATCTAACCTGCAAACCTGCGGGTTTAGCCCAGCCCATTCCAAACCCTACTTATCCTATCTACTTGCAGATTTTAAATTCTGTAAAACCTATTTTTAGCCAGAGCAGATGGGGTCTCAAAGAGACCATCCATATAAGTTATAATATTTTTTCACTCTCTTAACTTAGACAAGAACTGTCTCTGATATTTCTTTTTCTGAAGAAGCATAGCTTCAAGAAAATTTTTCGAATTAAACTTTTTTTCACAATATATAATCTGAATACTACAGATTAATCTAATACTCACCTATATTTTATATACCATTTCATACTTACACTATAAATACATCAGGTCAATTAGTAGAGTGTAAGCCCAAGAGTAAAGTTTACAAAAAAAATATATAACCCTAAATCTAGATGCATGATCACTATAAATGAGTTAATATATAATAAATTGCTATGTAAAGGCTATATGTATTGGAAAGAAGAAAGGCTTTTAATTCCATCTTTTCATGATTATATACTATTAAGAGAATGTCTTTCTTCCATAAAATATCATATCAGGGAAATTGTATCAGAAAGAAGTTTACTAATACTGATTAACAAAAAAATAAGTCTACTCCAAATCTTTCTCAAAGGAAGTCTATGTAGTAATACTTTATATCAGCTATTAAAATTATACTGAAGACATAAAGAAACGAAAGCTTGGAGGAATGGCGTATTCATGAAATTTCTCCATCAGCTGAATTTAACCTTTTCAAAGTATAGACCAGGTGCTTTATATGATGCATTTACAAAAACAGATGTTTTAGAGCTAGAGCATATATTAGCTCTAACACAGTTACTTGACTAAAATGTAATTATAATATTTTTTCAAGAAAGATTTTATTCATAGTTTTGGAATAGCAGATCTGTGACTATGTATCTTTTTTTGCATATCATATTTATCTGCAGATTTTAAATCGATGTAAAACTCCTAACCAGAGCATGAGTTATATCATTATTTTTTGCTTTCTTTCCAAAGAAGCATAGCTCTGAGGAAATTTTTCAAATTGAACTTTTCCCAAAATATATAATCTGAATACTATAGATTAATTTAACACTTATCCTATATTCTACTTACCATATCATGTCTGTCATTACAACCAAATTTGTCACAGACCACAAACACACCAATGAGTCAAGTCTTGAAAAGCTTAGCCAATATGTGCCAGAAATACTTGAGCTCTTAACAACTACACACTACTAGTAGATAAAGAGAAAAGATGTCAGGCCTGTAATCACCTTCAAAAAGGGTATGAATTTAGCAAAGAACAAGCATTTGCATTAATTTCTCACGAGAGAATTGAGAGAAGTAAAAGCCAAGTAATTTCTAAAAAAGAAGAGGATGTGAATATATGCTTAGTATCTGATATTACTCTAGAAGAGAAGACTATCAAACAAACAGCTCAGTGTATTATGAAAGATAAACTTAGTGAAAAAGATGTAAAGGCAATATCTAAAACCTTAGTCGAAACATCTTCTGATGCTATCATTGTCTTATCCTACCTCTCTAGGCTTTGAAGAGAATTATGACCCTTCAATGCTCAGAAAAAATAATTTCTACTACATTGAATTCAGAGGTAACTAGGTTATCCAATAAAGTTTAAAAGGAGCATAGTGAGCAACGCGAAAATGAAGGAATTGATTTTTTAGACCACTTCTCATTAGAATCAGTCAAGGAAAGATTGAATAAGTATGATATATCAAATATATCTGACAAACAGGCCCTAGCCGATATAATGATAATGCTCTGCATTCGTCTGGCTGAAATTAAAAACTTGTGTATATCTAATGGGACTGTAACTAGATATGCAAAAAACTGAGGTCAATAAGATATTCCTTGAGTATTTAGATCACTAGAAAAGAATGAGGAACAGGCTAAGCAACTCCTTACTTGGATTCAGGATAATATTTGTTCTGAACAGTTAAAGGACCCAGGAAAACTTGGATCTATATATTTAAGTACATTTCTAAAAAAAGATAAATTTATTCCTGAAAATGGTAAACTACTATTTCCTAGCTCTTTATGAAAATTAGGAACAGTGTTCACTTCTGTAGCACATAGGTCTAAAAATGCATCAAAAGCTAACACTTATGCCAGTGAAACTCTTCAGCATTCACTCGATAATCATGCTTCTTCATCTAAGAGATACATTATAATCAACATGTGAAAAAGAGGAGAACTGTATAATTAGGCAAGACCATTCTTTATCGAAGATGAAAGCTAATTATATAGATGAGTTAGATATTGTTTATTAAATTTTTATTTTTTCATTTATCTAAGATATTGCATATATAAAAGTTTAGAGAGTTTTTTGTGAAGCCATACTGTATACACTCTATATGACAAAAAAATATAAATTAGCTAACTTGTTCTAAACATGGGCAATGATTGATGCTAGCTGAATTTTTTATAAAAACTTCATGCAATTGTTGAGAAGTAAGATTTGGAATTAGTAGAAGTTCCTTTATAGTAAACCTAATTTTCTTTACTTCTATTTCACTATATTTCTTTAATATTACACCTGAATCATCTTTTAAGGGACCATGAAATTTTTCAAACTTTCGAAAATATGCTCTTGCATTTTTATTAGCTTCTTCTGCCCTTTCTCGATTAGAATATCCAATAATACCAAGTTTGTCCTGAATTGTTATTATATTCTCTTCTAAACAAACAAGCAAATTATATATTTCTCTAATTGAAATATCCATAAAAACTTCATGAGTTTTATTGCTTCGATATTCTACTACTAGAATAGAATTGCCATCAATGTTAAGATTTTTCTCTATCAGTATTAAATCTCCCACCAATTCTAACAATAACTCATATAAATCAGGAAGTGTTTTCGCTTTATTGCTTTGATGCACTGCTGTTTGATTTGTCTTACTATTTGTACTAAGTTTTTTCTGAATAGCTATTATATCTTTCTTCTGATATAATAGCACTTCATATAATGGATCAAGTATTTTACTTCGACCAGAATTATTATTAGTATTACTCATTATTGTTATAATAAAGTAATATATTTAATGTAAAAATTTTCAAGTTCGGAATATTATTATTAGCTCAGAAGATTTTTTGTTGATCCACAATGCATATCATAGGAGGAAATTTGTCTGATTGGCTAATGCAAATCAATTACCTAGGTAACTTATTTATATGTTTTAAAGTACTTTTTAGTAACACAACGTTTTACTAATAAAAAATCGTTGCAAAAGCCATTCATAGCTTTAGAACAGTGTCAATATTCACTATACAAAAGAATCAAAAAAAGATCATACTCCTTACCTACTTTGCTTAGAAGACAAAAATGCCTTTTACAATTAGCATTACAGAATCTTGTGTGATTATTATTTGCAAGAAACAGTCGTCTGACTGGAGAAGAGTAACTGAAAATATTATTTCCAAAGGTCAAGCTAACAAGACTCTTCCAAATTATGTTAATCTAGGCAATACAATTTGCTTAAGTTGTTATAACAGAATTGTAACAAGAAGTACTGTTGAATTTCAACAACATACATTAGAACAGTCTTATAACAAGTTGGAAGTTTCTGAAAAAACTTCTATGGATATTTTAACAGATAATTTAACTTTTTTACAGACTATAGAAATAATTACAAACGTTCTTTATGAAAGAGAATGAAAATTGTTGCCAACAATTTGGAACTTTGAAGAATTCTGCACAATTATGGAATCAAAAAATCAATGATTGAAGACTTTCTTTGATGAACTATATTTATTGACTAACCCGCAAGGAAAAAATAAAAATACAATGGATAAAGTAATGAAACAATTGGTATTTTTGTGTTATTTTATTTGTAGAATTAGGAATAAGTTTGTTAACAATGCGAAAAGAGATCTAGGCATGTATTTAGATTCTACAGAGATGCCTAATTCAACAATAGATACTTTGGCAATGTTGAACTTAACAACAACATCTCGTTCAATTACTAACTATAAGGAATCAGTGTCTGAAAAGCATTTAGTAACTGTGAAATCCAATCTTGAAAATAGTTCTAATAGCACATTAATTTTAAATATAGACAATTATCATAGTATCCATTCTATATGAATGCCTATCACGATAGAAACATCTGCTTCAGTACATCTCACTACTATTTTACTTAATCTGATCAAGACTCAACTAGCGATACCAAGACAAGATATTCACAATTTAATGTTGGTTGATGCTTTATTAATCAAAACTGGCATCAAAAATCATTTTATATTGGTATATTTACTTACTTATAACCAATGTTGGGGATTTCGCTCTATGGATGATGAAACCAAGCTTAAAGAATTGATAGTCCACAGTTATGATGTTCATTTGAAAGAAAAAAGGAGTACAAGATCAATCAAAGACACTGTACTTTTAGATCTTGTTGAAAGTAAACTCTATAAAATAGAAGATTATATTAAGGCCATTAATATTGTGACGTCCATCCTAGCAATAAATAAATATATTGAAGATGGCAATGTTATTCCTGTCATTGCCAATTGGCCTGGTCAAATTAACTTAAGAATGGCTATATCATAGTATCTTTATTATGGTAGTTCTTCAGGAATCACTAATCAAGTTTTATCGTTTCTTCTAATGATAGGTCCTTTGCACATTTTGTTAAACAGCTGTGAATTAATATTTCTTCAGTATCAACCATTCTTTTCTGAAATGTACAAATACATATTTGATAAAAAGAGAAGTCTTGCTCAAAAACCAAGGCCGTAGCGTATCAACTTATTACTTGAACTTTTATGTAGTGCATGGTGAGAGATTGCAAAGATAGTTGAAATCAAATTCAGATATATGTACAAGGACCCAGAGTATTTGATGCTCAAAGATCTGTTAGATAATACGATTCCATTAGTTCTTGATGTTTATGCTTTATTCTTTCGAGCTGGTGATTTTGATTCTTATATTGAATCTTGTTTTCGAATTTGGGTAATTTTTCTTAAGTTTCATCATAGAAACTATACTAAAGCTCCTTTAATGTTTCTTTCAAACATTTTTTATTGGCAATCCAAAAACTACCCAATCTTAAGAACAATGATTGCTGAATTATCGAAGTTTTCTGACGCTCCTGTGAAAATTTTTCATAGTCTCTTGCAGTGCAATACAGAGAAGCATCTTACAGCAGAACAAATAATAAAAGAAGCATGATATATCAACTTTTTAAGATTTAATGATGATGGGTTTAAAGAAAATTTTGCTCATAATTCAACTTGGGCAGTTTATCAATATTCCTCCCGAAATATTGAGTCTTTAACTCGAAAAACAACATGTCTTTTTTTAAATTGTTTTTCTGAAATTTATACTCATATTAAACATAAAAAACTTTAATTTTCAATTTCACTACAGGTTTCTATAATACAGCCAGCAAAAAGAAATAAAAAAAAAGGAATATCAATACAGAAAGTATTTCTATTTCAGCAATGAAAATGAAAGAGGCATGGCTTTGTCACTTACCCTTAGGATATAGTTCTTTTTCTAGACCTAGTTTGTTTGGTTGCAATTCTTTTGATTGCATTACTAATACTATTTTTAGTGAAAAACAGGTCGAGTATTACCATGTGGCTACGTATACTATGATGCATGTTTTAGCAAAGATGGGTTCAAATGTTTGCATTGTTTGGACTATATTAATGATGGTGTTGATAAACATGTTCAATCGCTTTTAGAAAGTTTGTGTGAACTTGATCCAAAAAAAAATGCTGAAAATGTTGAAGATGAAAATGGTTCTGTTGCTAAAGATGACGACAATGATACTAAAGAATTTGCTACTGATATTTCAGTTTCTTGGGATGATATGATATGGAAGTTTCTTCTATTATGAATTTTTTTTTTAATTATTTAATTTTTTATTTGTAAAAAAATAAAAATTGGTTTTCTTT